CACAGCAGAAATAAACATGTTTACAGCCTGGTTCAAAAACTATTTGAGATTTAACAGCTCAAGTTTACCGTCTTGAAAACTCTTATGGAGGGTGAATTTTTTTGTAACTCGTCTATTTAGGTGTAATTAAAGCTTGAAATTATGAATACCGTATTGACCCAAATATAGGACGACCCCAACTATAAGACGACCCCTTTCCTAGACTAATCTTAAGGAAAACAAAAAAAAAAACTTTTTAAATTAACAATTTTTATTGATAATTTGAGAACAAATACTGAGCAAAAACACTATTTTAATGCTAACTATCAGATTTTTGCTGACATGTGAAATCAAAAGTCAAATGAGGCTTTTATTCACAGACGTCCTCTGCCTCGCTGTACTCACTCACTCACTCTGCTGCTGCGGTCCCGGTGTACCATCAGATCGCCACACCTGCCGGCTCCGCCCATTGAACGTCATCCTCACTGCCATCCAATACATCCACGCATGCATTGTTTGACTCCTCTGCTGAATTGACCACCATCGTAGGGCTGCAACTAACGATTATTTTCATAATCGATTAATCTGTCGATTATTTTTTCGATTAATCGATTAATCGGTTTGCTATTGTTTAGCTATTTAACCTATACAAGTGATGGATGCATTTCAGTTAAGAAAAAAAAAACATAAGAGAATTGTGCAGTTGACTGCAATCTATTTTATTGCACATGAACACAGTCAGCAGTATAAAATGAGCTAAACAGTGCAAAATATCAGTCCAGAATAATTTTTTAGCATTAGCTGGAAGCCTGCTCCTTCCACCATGGATAGTGGCCTCATGTCTTTTACCAGCATGTTTAGAATAGAGTTTGTAAGTGGTATGAATTGCTGGGGGGTGAGTGTCTTGTTCCCCATGTAGTTGTCCATCGTTGCTTGTTTTTTTCTGCATAAGAAACACAAATAGACTGAAATAAGTACACATATAAAATAAAGCAGCACACACACTACAACACTAAATCAATATATTATTTGAATTAATTAACAATATGCAGTGATCATTTATTTTGAGGGTTTCGTTCTACAAAATAGCCCGCAACAGGAGATATTCAGAAAAAAAGTCTAATTTTTTTTACTATTAAAAAGCTCTAAGTAAGAAGCTCATGAGGTTTTTACTTTGAGTCTGGAGTGTTTAAATTAGCTAGAAAAATGTGAAAAATGTTTATTTTGTGTAATACTGTTTAAGAAACATGATAAAAATGTGTTGTGAGGCGTTTTACAGCGTTAGATAGTAAAACAGCCTTTTAATAGTAAAAAATGACTTTCTGAATTTCTCCTATATTTAAAAATTGAAAGCGTACAACTATGCCGCGTTATATTCACCTGGACACAGCTCGTCTGTATATTTTTCACCGCGGAGTTGTCCTTTTTTGAATGAGGAACATAGTTATGGGTTTGTGCCATTTTTCTCTTAACGAGAACATTCTTATAAACAGACGTGCTGAATTTGGCAAGCGCATGATTCACAACACGGAGGAGATTCACGATGGCATCTAGTCAATCAGAAGTAGAACACCGTAGACTGACGCGGCAAAAAACATGTTTAACATCCAGTATAACGAACTCAGCTAAAACACTAAGTCCAGCTTGTTTATTTTCTGTTACTTACCGGGCTGGCTCTTCCAAATGACGGCTCACTTGACCGCGGTGCTCTTCCTCTGCTGCATCAGCCCCCACATGTTTTCGTCTCAAATGTTCACTTAGGGACGTCGTGCTTCCGTGCCATGCTAGATGGTTTTTGTATATTTTGCAGGTCACCCGTCTTTTCAAGGCATCTAGAGTGAAGTGCTCCCATACTCGTGAGGTTTTTGTCCGGGGTTTCTCTTCAGTTTTGTCGCTTCTATTTTTCTTCCGTATTTCCTCTTGTTCCGCCATCTCTCACAGCAAGATGAGCGTCAGTAACGTGATACGTCATGAAAACCGAGGTCACTCATTGGCTCATTTCTTCTTCTACGGCTCCACTGGTAGATCAGTGGCTCATTACTGCCACACACTGGCGGCAAATTTAACAGCTTGTAACCGATGTCAGATTGTGGTAAAAATAGACTTCATGCGGTAAAATATGATTATTAAACAACTAATCGATGACTAAAAAAGTTGTTAACTATTTTAATAATTGATTTTAATCGATTAAATCGATTAGTTGTTTCAGCTCTACACCATCGTCTTAAAATTTGCATAACTCTGCCTTAGTAGCCCCACTTTCGGTCCACTCTGCTCCGATCTCTCGTCTCCATTTTTTTCTCCTGTTGTGAACACACAGCCTGGCGCCCTCTGCTGTTACGGGTGTGTAATGACCCCCGACAAATATCAGCATGTGTGAATGGTTTGACCCAGATTATAAGACGACCCCAAATGTTTAAATTATTTTCAATGAAAAAACAACCTTGTCCTATATTACGGTAAATACTATAATTAGAGACGTCACATTAAAAGTGTTACAGCCTAGAAAGCAGAGGGTATCAGAGTAGCTCAACCGCACTTTTCTGGCTAAAAGCATCTGCTACGCTCTGTTTGCTTCAGTTAGCTTGTAGCTACATCGGCTCAGAGTTGGATGGGTGTCAATCATCTGCCACCACCCTCGTGGTTCCGCTCTCAGCTCCATTTTTGTATTTTCCAAGAGTGGCGAGATACGTGATGCTGCCAATATGGCGGTGGAGGGAACCGCTCATTGGGCTTCGATTCAGCTCTTCAGAAACCTATGGGCGACGATCCAGGGTTCATCCATTATTTATATAACCAATGGTTTGAACCTTCAGCTTCGCTCAGCAGCTCTTCTCTACATTTATAGCAGCGCTGTCTCTCCGTATTTCATTCTTGTGACTGATTGATAATTTCTATAATCGCTATGCTGGTTCTGGTGTGATGAGTCATTTTGGCTTCATGGCGTAATAAAAAAACATGTAAATGAGTAAGTATGACTTATATATTTGCTTTATAACAATCTAAACTAGAAGGTTTATGCCAAAGAAGTCAATCTGATCCTCCAGATTTTTTTGTGTGCTGTTATTACATTTTCACCTGAACAGGTTTCAATCAGAGCATCTTGAGCGGCTGAACTCATGATATTGACTCTGTCTGTGCTGCTCTGAAGGATTATGATCTGACGCCACGTGGCAGTCATGACTCATCAGACTCTCTCACTTGGCTCCCAGCGGAGGGCCGAGGCAGAAGCCCGTTGATTCATCCTCATCTGCTTCTTAAGCATCTTGTCATGTTTGCAGCGAGACACGTGTGCGGAGTCTCCAAAGGGCGGGCCGCTGCCTGCCGCTGCCTGCCGCTGCCTGCCGCTGCCCCACAGCAGGACTGAGCGGAGCTTACATAACGAGGAGGAGGATGCTGATGTCTGTAATGCATCTGCTCCAGAGAGCTGACGTTTGGTGAGGCTTGCTGTGTGCGGGTCTGTCAACAAACATCTTTACAAGGATGCTGTGATGCTTTTTATGCACGGATCCACTCATGAAGCGGTCTGCCGTTGCTGCTCATTATCATGTAACAGCTTATTAATTATTAACGAACAATGGTCCAGCATGTGGTGTGTCCATGGGTTGTTTTCACTCTGCATCACACAAATCTGTCCTCCAGCTGCTTTAGATGTAACTGCAGAAAAATGGAGTTGGTAAGATCCTGGATCTGAGCGTTTAGCTTCCTCTTTTAAAGATGTGATGAGGAGCTCCATCGTCGGTGAGATGTTGGCGTGGAGCTGCGTTTACTCCTTATTCAAAAATGTTAGCTGTGGTGGCTTTCCTGGCTCCCCGTGAGGAAAAAGCTTAAGGATGTTTTATCCTCTGACTTGGGAACACTTTGGGATCCTCCAGGATAGGGCAGTGCGATCTGACAATGTAAGACTGTTAAGGAAAGAGATGACGATCTACCAAAGCTTGGAGATCGTAGAACCGTCTATTGCGTTCCATCACCTGTGCCATTATTTCTGGACGCGTCTATCGATGTTCTGACTATCCGTGCTTCCTTGTTGAATTATCCTACCGCAGCGTGTTGACAGTTTCACTCTTGTTTACAGTATAGTAACATGCTTATTAAGCACCGTTTATTTTAAATAAGTGATTATACATGAAATGACTGAACTGTGGTAGAAAAGAGAGTGTTCGCCATGATTTCGTGAATGGCTAAACAATGGGAGAAATTTTTTGTTTACAGACTTATAATGATATTTTACAAGCTGACTGTCAGGTAAACATAAGCAGTAATACAACAACTTCCAGAGGTAGCGTGTCTCTTCAGGTGAACAGCCTGTGATGTAGTAGTCGGTCTGCGTTAAGTGTGTTCCCACTCGTCTGCTCCATCAGGGAACCTCTGGGTCGATGTTCTGCTCTAAACATCGCATTTAGCTTTGTGACTTTTGTTATTTGGAGACGTTTGTGTGTGTTTTAGCGAGCCTTTTCGCTGTGGCTGCCAACCGGAACGTTGTTTATGCCAAACCTCTCTCCCGCGTAATCTGGAAACAGCTACAGAGAGCAGTGAGGGACAAATAGTGAGTGTAATAAGGAGTGTAATTCTGACTGGAGAGTGCATGAGATAAGGATGCATCATGAATTTAGCTTAACATGATTGATTTAAAAAAAAAATCTGGACAAGAAATAATTACTGGTAATAATGTGAATGATAGAATATGAGCCACCTCTAGATTTTAAATTATTTTACATTAATTATAAATATATAATTCAATTTGAGACGTGTATCACTCACTAACTCCCAACTGTAGATAGAGAGAGAAAGATGATGGAATTATAAGATGTGTGTTAGGATTTTGAAATCTTTTATCCTATTTTCTGTGGAGAATTATTTGAAATTTATGTATTTTAATGGTAAAAAACTTCCAAAACATCTGAGTTGTCAAAATAGAAAAAAATCATGATAAAATCGTGATTTAGCAAAAACAAAATCATGATATGAATTTTTTTTTCACATTGCCCCCCACCCCACCCCCCACCCCCCACTCCAGGTGAAACTAAACTGTGTCAAGGTTTTTCTCTTTGAACACAAGTGTGAGATTTTAAGCATCTTTTAACTTATTTTTTTTAAATCTGAAACATTTGCTTATCCAGTTGCTCATTTTGAGTAACAAAATGCACCAAACTCCTTGCTTTTATCCTGTGAATGAGTCAAGACCTCCTATTCAGAGAGCTTTTTATTGCAATGTGTAAAGATCCTTGTTGTTTTTGAGTGTTTTTATTATTTTAGCTTCAGTGACGGTGTTTTTGCTGCAGAGCAGACACAGAGGTAATGAACTCGAGCGTTTCCGAGACAGCGAGCCGTCTGAGAGAGCTATGAAGGGTGAGGAAGTGGAAATGCCTTCCTGCTGCTGCAGTGTCTCCGCTTCATGACGCCATCTGCAGCATGTTTACAGGCAGAAGCTGTACTCGGGGACAACGTCAGGGCGTTATAACTTCCTGTTCGTCACCTCGAAACACCGATGCTGTGCCTTCAGTCGTGGGTTTGTGCAGCGAAGCTGGTTTAGGGCTCGATGCGCATCTGGGTTTGAAGATCTGGGAGGAAGTGCGCCGTCATTCTATGTGCTTCTGAGCTGTGCTGAAGCCAGAAAGGTGACTATGAAGCTATTCTTAAACAATGCGGCATGCTCAGCTATTCAGATCGAGTCAGACAGGAAGTCAAACACATTATCAGTGTAAAACATTTCAAAACTTTCAGCTTTGAAAATAAGTCACGTTTAGATTTCCAGTGTTATTTAACTAGTAAAAGAAACGCGTCAAACCTCCGTAGCCGAAGTAAACTAGCGGTCACACTTTATAGCGTGACGACTGCAAATTAATTGACCAGTAAAATGTGATAATTCCATATATATATGAAGCATCAAACTGATTGATCTTTGAACGTTTAATCAGAAGGTTATAGTTACTTGTTCAGGGACCATAAACACACTTCGTATTAATTCAGACAGTCAAGTATATAGTTAAAAAGGATTTTTATTCTTTTCTAAACTAATGATTATACATGACAAGATATGAACAATGAGATGTGATGGAGTGGATATGCAGTGATGGAGTGTGATGTGTAGGTGGTGTGATGTAAGCTAGATGTTTATCAGAACTTTTGTATCTGAAAGAAATTGTGAAATCTGGGTGTAAAAGATTTTGTTGTCTGCTATAAACTAGAGAGTTGATTACCGTAAATCCTCTAATACAGGCCAGTATTCAATTAAAGGCCGGGCCTCCAATTTTGGCCGGTGTCGGAGTCGGCGGAGGTGAATAATGGCTGGTCTCTTATTGTGGCTGGGTGGAATGTGGTAACAAGCAAGTACGGGGGCGGTTGTGTCATCGTCTCACTTTTGATTTGCCAGTGATAGACCGCGAGGGTAACTTTAACCGTGCGGAGATGAAGAGGAGGCGAAAATTTGATATCAAGTTCAAAGAGAATGTGCGCTGCAGAACACTGGGGAGCAATAGGGGTTGTATGAACTAGTCAACTTCACTATAGTGACTTTTTATGCCTGTCATCGACTAGTCGCTGTCACGTGATAATTACCGGCAAGATGCAGCCCTCGGAAAAGACAGCAGCCTGCTGTCAGCAGGTGACAAGCTCCTGCGCTCAGGGGGCCAACGCGCTCTGCCAGAGCGTCGGTACTGACACGCGATCGTTCATGTCGGTTCATTTCCTTTAATGTTTTCTGTCTTTTATTTGCGCCTGATGTGTTTCGCTGCTGTGGAGCGGGGCGCATCACCTTGTCCTCCGACGCACTGATCACTGATGCGGCCGGCAAGCAGGGAGCACTCCGCTGTTTTTGTGGTCGGTAGATCTGCCTCCTGAGCACGGCCACAGTAACAATCAGGTGTTGCCAAATTATTTAACACGCAATTGTTCATGTCAGTTCATTTCCTTTGATGTTTTCTGTCTTTTATTTGCGCCTGATGCGTTTTGCTGTGGAGCGGGGCACATCACCTTGTCATCCGGTGACGCACCGATCACTGATGCGGCCGGCAAGCAGCGAGCACTCCGCTGTTTTTGTGGTCGGTAAATCTTTTAGAACTGCAGTTCAAAGGTAACTCATGAGGTGAATATATATGAACCCAGATCGTTGGAAAGCTGCTTTTATGTACTTTTAGGAACCGTTGGAATTTCCTGGATCTGATCAGCCATTCAAAAGTTATAAAACGGAGCATTTTGGATGACAAACTCAGCACGTCTCAGAATCTTTGTTGTGATTTGGTGCGCTCAAGACAGGGAATCCCGGTGGCTACCGTAATGTATTGTATATGCACGGAAAGCCCCATTTTTAATCTTTTCAGCACTTTTGGAATTTTAATGATATCTTGAACGGTTCAGGAATTATGGTAATGAGAAGTGCGCATGTCCAATCCCGTCTGCGGCCACAGGTTGGTAATAAGAATATTGAGGCATTAACAGAGGGGTGCTGGCGGTCAGGGCTAGGGGGGCCCCCAACACAAGGGGGCCCCAGGCGGCCGCCTACCTATGCCTAATGGTAAAACTGCCTCTGTAGATACCTGCATCATGGGGTTGATCTGAGCTGAGGAGGAGACTCCTGTTGTTTTGTTCATCTTCATCATAATAATGACAACATTAGATGACAACAGGTGCTCACATAGGTTTGTGCTGATGAACATGTCTGAGCAGCTTGACCGCATTGTTGTGTGTCGGGGAGGAAACACGACTGCAGCCACAGAGCTGTGCTGGTTTGAGCGTGTTGCTGCTCGCTGGAGTTATATCAGCTCTGTCTGGATGTTAGTTGGAAAACTTTCTCTTTCAGTCGTGAACACATTACTGAGCGGCTAGAATCTCCATTTCTGGGCTTCAACGTCAGAAAACAGCTGAGTGAACTCGGTGCCGAGTGAGAGGAGTGTAGTTTGTCCGAGACGGCGGAGCTGCAGACACCGGTTGCAGGTGCTGGAAAAAACACAAAGGAGGGGGCTTAGTCGGCTCCGCGCTGACGCCGCAAAGCATCATGGGAGTTGAAGTCTTTGCGGTAAAATCGGCCAGCGGGCCAGTTTTAATATATTTTTGATATTTATTTCGCGGGCCACATAAAAATGCTCCGCGGGCCGCATCTGGCCCGCGGGCCTTGACTCTGACATATGTGGTCTAAGGTGAGAAACTGAAAATGGCGGAACAGTTTTCAGGTGAGGTCGAGGCTCAGACTGAGGCCTTTCCCCAGAGCTAGCTCTGTGGTCACGTGGGTCTGATGCTCATTAATTATTCTGAATTTTAGGCTTTTAATACACTTAAACAGAAGAGTGACAAAAAAATTCACCCCCCTCAGAGTTGTCATGAGTGTAAACTAGATCTATTAAACCTAAAACATGTTTTGGAACCAGGCTGTAAACTTGTTTATTTCTGCTGTGAAATTGGTGTTTTTAACATGGGAGTCAATGAGGGTTTGCTCGCTTCTGGCACCAGCCCCTAGTGGTTGAGGGTGGAACAGCAATTTTTGTTACTCCCGTGTTTGCATCATTTTCATACCAGTATTATGGGGGCTTGGTTATTACCCTCTAGCCACCGAAGCTGCAATTAATAAGCAACTAACCAACCACAGATAACTTCTTTGGATCTAAAAACGTTTTAAATTAGTTGACTTTCTTTTAAACTTGAAATTTGCCCCTGAAGTAGCTGCCGGCTTCTGATCTGCCATCCTTTTGAAAATACAGCGATGTATTCTGGTTAATTTTTGACCAAGGCTAGGCTACAAGACACCTCCCATGGATCCCTGCTCAGCTAGCTAAACGGCTAACAAATGGAGAACACACGCTTCGGTAGAACATGAACATTGGAACATGTCTTGGCGGCTCCTGATGACGTATCTCCTAGGCAACCGGGGTGGGGCCAAGACATCAAGGCAAGGTTCCTTGACATAGAGAAACACCCTAAGTTTCTGGGCGATGCCATGTTAAACACCATGTTTACTGCTACGGGAGCCCATAAGGACAAGATGCATTTACTGATTTGTAACAAACGTTTATAAAACTTTTATGATTCATAAACGTTGTTGTTTTACACCTTTACCTCTTCACTTGTTGCCAGTGATGAAAGGGAGTCTGGTGTGCTTGTCATTTTGCTGGAGGTTGCGTTCCCAGAGATTTTTGACCCTAATGGCCATCCGTTGGTAAAGTCTTACTCAAACACATAAATACTGCTTTTTTGTAATGATTTAGGTTTGTACTGCTATCGCCAGGGAAATACACATCGTCACTTTAATCAGTAATAAACTAAGCAATTTTATGTACATTGTACTAGTTTGTCTTAGTTATAATAATTTAAATTATAGTGTATTTTACACTGTTAGCTCCAACACATAAATATCTAGTGGCGTTAGGGCTGGGCGATATGGCAAAAATAGAATATCACGATTTTTCCAATATTTTATCACGATTTCGATTTTATCCCGATTTTTTATCCATGAATAGCAAAACTTCAATTGCGTATTAAAGAAGAGAAACATTGAATAAATAAACATTTATTCATATTAGGGATAATCAGCACAGTGCTAGCACACTTATATTTTAAACTCATACCAAAGATGATAAAAGCCCTGAGAGAAACAATTACAAAAATCAGTTTTTCTCGTTTTTCAAGTAACTTAACATAAATTAAAATCTTAAACATATTTAAAGTGCAAACATGTAAATTGCAAACGTATTGTGTAAACATTAACTTGTTCAAAATACTATGTAGATCCCAGTTGCTCATGTAGTGGATAGTTAAGCAAAAACTGCGCATTCTGAATATTTTCTGCAACAAGTCTCAAAGTAAAAATTTCTAGTGCAGAGAGGAGACAACCCATAGAAGCACTGATTTGATCTCATTTAAGAGAAAAATAGAACAGGTTAGATGCACTTAATAAATAAAATTATAACAAACTCAGGAATCTTTCTTTTCTTCACTGTTCTGGTGCTGAGAATATCACTAATGCGGATCAAAGGAGATACACAGATGAATGCACCTCTTATTATTTGGAAACTACATTTACTGCAGCTGGCAGAGGCAGAGATCGTTTCTATTGATACACGGAGTTTACAGAATCATTTTAAATGTTAATGGGGGAAGACTGCAGGAGGGAGCGGTAAAATACAGGGGGTCCCCAACAAAAACAAGAAACTACGAGTCTGATGAAACCCGCTGGTTTTCCATCAGGCAGTCACGGGGCAGCTCCAGCGACCCAGTGACCGAGCTCAGTCCGGTACAGACACCGGCTCGGCAGAGGGTGGACGAGCCGAGGCGACGTCGTGCTCTGCTTAAGAAGCGGTGTTATTTTCCTGCTTCAAAAGAAGCGTCCAACGTGTTTTTACGCTTTCTCCGAGACATGTCACGTCGCTAAGTTGTTAGCGCCGCGCGCTAAGGAAACCCTGCGTTCCTCTTCGGAACGAAAACCTCGTTGTCGCTCAGCCGCGGCCGAAGCCATTTGTTCACACACAAATGAAAACAAGCGGGGCACTAATATATTACTATGACTCACTCTGATTGGTTAAGGGTCAAACAAAGGCGTGTCATTCGCCTGGGGTAAGTTCCCTTTTCATTCAGAGGCAGAAATTCAACAGCAGAGCTGTGAATCGTGATAAAACGGTCTCTCAAAAAT